CTCAGCACTGCTGTTGAATGCCCAAATAAAAGCAACATTCGGCTGAACAAGGATCAATTCAAAGCAGTAATTTAAAGGCTAAAATCATTTTAGGAATATTGTAAATATGTAAAGGGCAATCTCTATAGCATTGAGCAAGGTAAGATTTAAATAAAATCTAAATTCTACTATAGCATTAAAAGGCACGTGAGCAATTTTAAGTGTCCTACAGAGAGGGAAAAGAAAACTGGAAAAAAGCTCCAACAGCCCATTTTTTATTAATCCCCACTGCGTGCTTCCTATCAGGTAGCTTAAATGTCAAAAGTTTTTTAAGCGTCATGACACCCACAGTTCTAGCTCCATCTTGTTGATATATAAATGTGAGACATGCCATTCCCCAATGTATTTGATTAAGTGGTAGTATTTGTATATTAAAAGACAACTGCAAGATGCAGAAAGTCTGAAGAGCTTATAAACTGCACCGGGTCAGAGTCCTTTGCTGCCGAATTCACTCTGTTAAAACTGTGAAGTTTCTAGTCTCCAGTGTCTTCCTAGAAGTTGTGTTCCCTGTCTTTGATGTGAAGGGTGCCTTGATCAGAGGTAGCATGAGCTAACAGATATTAACAAAGGGCATAGTTGAAGCTGATCTCAAAACCCAGCATTGCAGACAAGGTAGTCCTGACCTATGCCCTCACTTCCGCTGCCTTCCTGGCCTTAGCAATAATCACTGCATGGCTCTGCACAATCAGATCTTCTCACTGTTGCAACTTAAAAATAACCTTTTTTCTTCTTTTTTCTTTCCGGACATTGTTAGTTTTCATCTGAACCAGGGAGAAAAATCAGCATATTCTACGGCTGAGCAATTGTAAGGACTTATGCAAGAAAGGACAGAAAAAAAAACTTTCTGGAGGAGCTGCAGTCTTAGATTAGCTCAAGTTTACCATGAAACCCCACTCCTGGCTGAGAAAACCGTTTTGGTTTGTTGTAATGAGCACTAAAGAAAATTCAGGGCTGTAGATGTTTGTCTCTTCTTCTTTTTCAGGAGAAACCGGATTTTTTATTCCAGGGGATGCCTTGGGTTTTGTTATTATTCTGTTCCCAGTTACACTGCTGAATTGGGCAAATAAAACGTGTGACATTCATTAATGAAAGAAGAAACAAAGAAAGTACTCTTTTTCTTCCATTATAAAATTGAGTTAAAAAGATTTATGAGCTCGTTCAGTATTTAACGAAAAACAATTGCTCTAGTCTTTGTTGGAAAGCGTGGCTGGGCGATCGGTCTGTTTCTAAGAGGCAAAGCTGGTTAACGGCAAGTGTTATAGGAGAAATACATATAATGTTATGAAACAAAAAAAAGATTTTCAATAGGTTTACATTTTTTAAATGTTTATTGGCTTAAAACTGTTGTGGCTCAGCAGCAGGGGGGTCCCAAGGAGCGGCGGCTGCTGTCTTAAAACTGCTTTTTCTCAACAAGGACTATACAGACAAGCAATAGCATCTGAAAAGCAGCATAAGGGCTTTTGAGACTGACATGAACTGAGCCATAAAGATAGAAAAAGCTCTCTACGGCACCCCTGTCTAGCTGGAGGTTTGTTAGTTTCTCCTTCTGCATTTATTTCCTTAATATGGCAATACTGTTTCACATGCCTCAGTGAAATAATTATTTCTTTCTCCATTAACTGTGAATAAGGTGGAAGAAAAAATTCGCAATTTTTGCTTTCCCTTCTCACCCACTGTCCTTTCCCCCAGAGCCGTTCAGGTCTTTCGGCAAACAGAATATATCCCAATTGTCAAAACTAATTAAAATATTGTTGCATTCACTGTGTATAAAACATTGCAAAAAGCAGGCAAAACAGGAATGTAAATGCACAATACATAGGTATGAAAATTGTAAGAAATATGTGATAGTAGATGCCTCTCTCACTACAACTCATACTGTGCTTAAGCCTCAATGTTTACACAAAAAAACAGATTATTGTGTCCCCATAGATCTGTAACTGTATGTCTCTGTAATAGGGATAAGCTTATCGGTAGCCTGAGGTGTCCTATCTTTATTTTGAAGACAGCGTGAAGCTTTCTTGTTGTGTGGTATTTGAAATAAGCAGGAGCTGTGAGGTGAGTGTACAAAGATGCAGAGGCACAGTCGTACCTCTAGTACTGCATTACTCTGGCTATTGCATGCTAACGACGTCTGCGGGACAGAATATCAGCTTTGTTCTGTTCTCTACAGTGACTCTCCTGCAGCTCAAACGATAAGCGGACGTGAATCCGAAAACAGTAGAAGACGCTATTAAGTTCCGAATGGCCGCAGCATATAGCACAATAGTGAACGTGGAATCTCAAATGAGTTTATTTAAAAAGAAAAGAAACCTCAATAACAGCGCTACGTTTGGAAAGCGAAGCTTTTTTGTGTTTACTTCTCAGGGGAGAGACTCAGATATTAAGATGATGGGTGTCTTTGTAAAAACTCAGAAAGACCACAGATGTTTACAGTGCAACCATTTATAGAGTATCTTCCATAAAAAGATGCCAGACAACTTTATAAGCACTAACGGACCGAGCTTTTCAACATCCTGTTCAGTCAGATAGCAAAATAATGTTCACATTAAAGGTAAAATAAGACACTTTCCCACAGTCATGAAGCAAAACACGAAACAGCAAGCAGTCCAAGCTTTTTTTTTTTTACTGCAGAATTAATCTGGATATTTGGCACTCGCTTAGCTTATGCAGAGCACCAGCACCCTACCCCATTTCTAAGTTCCTCTCTGCCTCTCTTCTCTGTACGTATACGACCTTATCGCACATCACTTCATACAGAGTATATTTTTTCTCTAGCCAATGGTATTCTTTGTACTATGAGCAATTTTTTCCCAGTCAATGATGTTTCCCATGGGACTTAACTGTCCTTTACGGAAAGTACTAGAGAACTATCAGCAGTCTTAAAAGTGGTTGTATTATCAGGCAAACGTTCTCACTTAAACCCGTTATACTACAGCTCCTGGGAAATATTACTCTGACTGAAAATCACCAGTTTTGTCCGCATGGATGGGATCAGCTAATGACATTAACAGGTGGGAAGAGGTGCCCAAGCTGATAAGTGAGTGCACTTCCCAGTGCAGTGATGTAACCATTTCAGATCTGCACACACAATCTGTCGACTCCTTGCGATGCAGAACGTCCCCCTTCCCTCAAGAAAACAAGGTGCCCGCCCAAAAAACAAGGTTCATGCAGCAACCTTACGTTAGCGTCTTTAAATTACACAAACGTCAAAGCAAACGAGAGCAGCAACGTTCACTCTGAAGTTCTTTCTTTGCTACTGAATGGATCCTGTACAAAATCAGCTGTGTACCATATGCTGCCGAAACAATAGTTACCAGACTAACAGACCGTACGCTGTGAATTAAATACTGAAACAAAACACAGATGCACAACTCAATACTTTCTTGATACTGAAACTTATTTCCTTTTTTTTTTTCTTCTTTCCTCATAACGCTTACCCCTAGCAAAAAACCCTTAGCTATTTGATCAGAATTTGGAAGGGACAAGCTAACCTGTAGTATCTTCTTATTCTGCCATCTTTTAAAAAGTACGCAGTTCGATTATTGCAAAAGCAATACGCATTCCTCTGGGAGCCTGGATACCTACATGTTTGCCTGCTATGCCTCCACAACTCTAACAACCCGAAGCGAAGAGTTCTCCTACACATCCTCCAGACCAAGAAACGTGTGAGCTCGGGTTAGTCCAGGACTATCCATCCACTCACTCACCCTCTGGCTGTAGCTAAACCTCTATGATCTTACGTCTGCTTCTCAATTCTGCCTGCCTGCTCCCCAAAGCAGGGCTCACGTGCATCTTTCTCCACTATCCAGATACTCGTTTTTCCAAAGTTTGTAATGTCTACCCTTCTTTGTATGGTAGCTGAACCTGCCCAATGGCAGCCAAGTCAGTAGAGATAGAAAGCGGGGCAGCAACCGAGAGATGGTGATTGCACGTGCTTTACTCCCCTCTGGAAATTAGGTTTAAAGAACCCCAAATTAATCTAGGTAATTATATTACTTTTAGTCTTTACAAATAACAGAAAAAAAAAACACCACAACAAAGTGGCATTTTATGTAACCAAGAGTTTTCAGATGTCTGAAACCCGGAATTCAGATCTAAATACCAGAAATCAGATGTTTAAATCCAAAACATACTCTTCTGCTCTAACTTCCAGAGGCAGGTGCCTTTCTGCAATACCCGTTAGTGATCCCAGTACCTGGAATCAATAAACAGGAGAATTTCTTCGGTTCTCTTTTTACTTCCCTTCCCTTTTTCCCTTTCCTTTCCTTAATACTTGCTGCTAGTTTATGTGTGAATTCACACCAATTGGGACCGCCCAGTACATCTCTTAGAGCCTCCGTGGCGATGCACAAGCACTTTCAGGCCCCGAGGCCCCCCACCACCCCGCGGCTGCCATCACCACCTGCCTCGTTTCTTTAGTCA